CAGTAACAGTACAAGTTTGCATCCAATCAAAATGCAACAACAGGGGAGGAAGACAACTCACGACTTCCACACGCCACTCGCGACCGGCGATGCTCTTGCCGTCGATTTCCCTAACGGCATCACCGGCGTCTCTGTCGTCAGCGAACCAGACGAACGCGAAGCCCGGTGGGTTGCGGGCGACCCACACCTATATTTGGCGTGCATCATAGTTCGGAGTGCAACAAACACGCACGCCAGAACAACAAACGCAAAGAGCACGAGAGACAACAACGGCAGCAGTGGTGGCGTGCCGCCAAAAAACAAAGGCAAAACAGCCACCACCAGGACAAACGAACACCGAGGAAAACAGGCATGGGGTCTTATGAGGTTCGTTTTTGGCATGGTTGAACTGGGGCAAGAGGTTGTTCTCTACTTACGATCTCAACGCGCCACTCCCGCCCGGCGATGCTTCTCCCGTCGACCTCACGCACGGCGTCAGTGGCATCTCGGTCGTCGGCAAACCAAACGAAAGCAAAGCCTGGAGGGTTACGCGCAACCCAAACCTGCGCAAGCGGACAAGATTCATTAATTATCACCTTCATAGAAGGTCTACGACTATACATCTCGACACCCGGTAGGGCCGGTAGCGGAGAGGGGAACATAATGTGCAACGAAGGGATAAATGCAGAGGTCGGCTGGGATTCTTTTTCATAGCGGTCGAAAAACCCGGGAAAAGAAAAAGAAAAAAGTATTTTGACGAAATTACGACCAAAGGCGCCAAAATCGACGAGACGGGAGACGAGGCCACAAGAGGGGGCAGAGCAGAAACAATGAGTTGGGGAACGCTAGCGCTGCTCTTTCACACCAAAATTCGTAGGGATGCGTGCTGCGAGGGACCTACATAGTTCGGGTTATTTCGTGCCAAGATCGGGAGGCGAAAAAGGGCCCTCTTGCAGGGGGCGCAAGATGAGCCACCCGTCCTCACAACAGAAATCCAACACCGAGATGTCGTGAGGACCACAATCCCTCCACGCGCACGCATATCTTCCTCGGCGGATACTGTCTGGCAAGCTTGACGATCGGCCAAGCCATCCTCGTCTCGGCTATCTCCCTCCTGCCTGAATGCGGAAGTTTTGTGGCGTGTGGCCGCGGCCAAAAACTTATCAAAAATACCTTGTTGAGTTCTCCGAACTTGCTGAACTCGTCCCTCAGATCACGCTCCTCGCACGTGCTGCCGAGGTTACCCACCCAAACCTTTGTTCCGGGCACATCTCCCATGGTTTTATCTTAGTCTGGCGCGAGTTGTCTTTGGTACGCAAGTTCGGATAAAAGCCGGAAGCGGTGTGTTTCGGGTGAGCGCGAGAGCGAGGAAGAGAGGGCAAAAAAAAAGGCGCGCAGAGTTTCTCTTGAAATGAAAATAGGGGTTTATATTTGAGATCATGCGTTATGACTGAACAGACGAGCCGAGAGGCACGCAGCCACTGCCAGCTCTCTTTTCCTTTCCTCTTCTTCGTCGCGACAGCGGGAAGGGCGGTCTCTCTCGAAGAGTTCCCATCCACCGGCTACATTAAGTTTAAGGTTTTGCTTGAGAGAAGCGGGGTTCGATTGCGAGGCTGATCGGTTTTCCAATACGCAACGGGAGCCCGCGAGTGGATCATGAAGACCAGTCCATCATATGCGGTTGTGGCGATTGCGCTAGCCGGCGGAGTCTGCCGTTCGAGCGCGTTTGTCGTCGGTGTTGGTGGGGCGATGGCCAGGTGAGGAGAGAGGCCATTTCTGGCGTGTGGCGACTGCTTGTATCTCGTGGTCGAATCCGAAGGACGTTGCAGTCCCCATCTTGCCGCAGGCACGCGCATATACAACATGTGTCGCTCTCTCGTGCACCCTCCCTGGAACATTCTCCAAGCTTGTTGCTGTTGCGCATCAGACTTGACTTGTTGCTTATCGCCCAGTGGGAAGCCGGCTGACAACCCGACCCATGTGTACATGGACCTTGTGGTGGTGATGTAGCTGTCGCTGGTATTTGAGGGAGCCTACTGCTATCTATGTTTATGGATGATGGATGTGAATTCAACCTTCGATGTCCAGCCGTGCTGTCGGTCTCACACGCTGTTTTCATAACGGCAACCTTCTGCACCTCAAGATCTTTTCATACAACAACCGTGAGCTCCCGATTCGGCCAGAAAACATGAACCAAGTACTACACCCCTGGGTGTTCTTCGTGTGTATCGACCGCTAGAATCATGTGCCTTGCGTTAATGGTTTGAAGCCTCAACGGCACAAAAATGCCAGTTTGCCTTTGTGTCTTCCGTTGCTCTCTCATGGATGAATATCGGCGGGCCTTGTACTGCTGTATGCGTTCAACCAACCTCAAAAATATTCCCTTGTGTTCATGTTCTTCTCATGCAAACGATACGAATTCATCTCTACCAACAGATAGAGAGTACAGGATAGTTTTGCATGCCCAATCTTTGTTTCGACCAGTCTCCGAGTAGCAAACATCGATATATCCCCTCGCTGGGAACGAGTAACAGGATAACATATATATGTATATATTTTTGCACCCGCGCGGTCAGCTCCTGCTTTTGTTGTGAAGATTGCACTCGTTGCGACTCAACCCCGTCGACCGTCTGGCAACAGCGCTGCTGATTGCCTCAGTTGCTTCGTCCAAATGGCACTATGTCAGGCTGCCTTGCTTATAACACTATGTCGAACACCATGTCGAGAACCAGCAACATCATTCCACCGCACTTTCGGTATAAGCATTAGACTAAAGCGCCTGTGCTCTCCTGGAGTTCCTGAGCTGCTGTCAGCACACCAGGGTGTCTTCCTTGACATGTGTTGCCGTCGAACGCGCAAATTGCCTCAGCCAGTGAGACGCACGTGTGTAACCGCTATGACCCTGTTGTTTCCCTCGTCCAGACCTGCGGCGTCAGCGGCTAGAACAGCATCAACGAGTCCGTTGATGGCCGTGCCTCTGGAGCTGGAGGGACAGCTCGACGAGAGCAAGGAGTGGGAGGTGGAGGTGAGCATCGTACAAAAGCCACATTTGCGAGCGGAACATTCGTGGCGTGCTGTTGCCACGCCCGCCCGCTTCAGCGCTTCAGCGGAACAACGCCGCCTACAGCACCGTTGCGGACGGCGAGACGACGTGACGTGATGCTGTAGCTGTACCACACAAAAATTCGAGTACGAAAGTGCGGACAAACTACACAACATACACTCGGTGCCCATCGTGTAAAGCCTTTCTCGAACATTGTGCCCACAGCAAGCAGTTTAGGTGGCTAGGTACAGCCGCGGAAACGAAAATCCTTGGTGATACTAGATATATGTGGTGTGCCGTGCCGTACATACCATGCTGCTGCCGGTATGTTGCCCAGTCCACGCTGATGTTCGTGGTGGTCATTCTGTGCTCACTGCTGTACCGCAACAGCGGGAGCCTCAAACAACATGATATATGAATTTTGCATGAATTTTGCCACTAAGAAAGACAAAGGTGGACGAATTGTAGGCTGTTCTTCTTTCCATTTTCGTTTCGCCTTAACTCGGCTCGTCCCGCGCTGCTAGCTGGAGCTCGATGGAGAGACGAAAATGGTGACAGTCCAGGAGGGCACCTCCGTCCTGTACGCGGCCAAGTCGGTGAGCAAGAGTGATGACAACTATTATATTGCTGTGGTACGAGGCTCTGCGTTTTTCCGATCGCCGGGCAACTCCGGTCGGTACAGCACGGACTGCTGTCTATTTTCCACATGTTCAAGCCACTGCATCGCATAGCATCATTCGGTAGACACGTAGTCACCGGCTTACTGCAGCAAGACTAAGTTGATGCCTACGGCTTTTTTCTTTTCGGCGTTTCTGTGTGTACAGAGCTGGGTTCTTCCTTGATTTTTTTTTGTTCTGGACGATCTTTGTTCTTCACGTCAGTGGTACAGTGTTGATAAGGGATATGGGTTCTGTACTTCTCACACACAAGTTTGGCCGCGGGTTCGAAAGATGAGACCAGTCCAGGTCGCGAACTCGTGAGAACCGTCCTCTCGCCCGCCCCGCTTTCTACGTTTGTGCAAATCCGTGTGACTGCTACTGTCTCCTTTTGTTGAAACAGGACCTTGGGGGTGTACCCGTTTTGTTGGTGTGTGCATGCCTGAGTGTTTCGTTTTTTGGTGTTTTCAAACGTTCAAGTTTGTCCTCATTCGTTTTCAAGTGTGCGTGGTCCTTGATTGGTACATGTGCTCATCCTTGCCCGGACTGATGCTGCCCGTGGCTGCGCGCGCCCATCAAGAAAGTATGAATGCGCCACGGTGTCGCTGCTGCTCGTCCTGGTCCGGTCCCTCGCTTGCAGGTTTTCGACGACCCGCCTTGCTCTTGCCAACAAGGGATTTGTACAACGTGTGCAGGCTTTATCAGGGAGGGGACCAGGGACGAGAACTACAAGGTGGCCGTGGACGCGCTGGGCGAGGACCAGAGGGAAAAGGCACGATCACGGAATGATAATGCTTGTGGGCGGTCATGGGTGGGCTCCGACTCGTGCAACAATAAAAAGGGGCTCCACCGAGTGCTTGGCGAATTTTCGTTGTATTTCGGAGTGTATTTCTCATTGCTCTTTCGGTGTTACAGCAAGTTCTCTGCTGATGTTTCATTCGAAGTTTGTTCTGACTGCGTTTTCCCGAGTATCTCGGACTAACCTGCATGTCCTCTCCGTCCCTCCGCCAATGTCCTTCCTCCCTCAATTCTATCTGTGAGCACCTCTGATTAGCCAGAGAGGGTGTGGTTGTTGTTTTTTGCATGGGATGGGTCCCTGTGGCCACCATCAGCTGCACAAATCTTGATAGTTTTTTTGGCTCGGGGCTCTTTCTCAACTGGACGTCACACGTTGCGTTGTGCAAAGCTTGTGAGGTATGCATGCGTTTTTTTTAACGCCAAATTGATCAACGGCGGTGAAGTTCTCTGCCCCCCCCCGCCCTCCCCCCCGCCGTCCCCCTCGGTGTTTGCCATCGGGGTTGGGTTTTCGTCGCTTGGCAACCACGTTGTATTGTCCGCCCCGGTGATTGCCATCGGGGTTGGGTTTTCGTCGCATGGCAACGACGTTGTAAAACAAGCC